GCAGAATTCTCTGAAACTCCAAAATGCTGTTATGCCCTGGAGACCATCTGGCCAGTCATGCATTTTTACATGCTTCCAAAGCCCTCCTTAACTCCAAATCTCTTCTACACAGTCTTTAACGCAACACGTCCCGCATTTAATGTAAACACATGGTCGTTGGCGATCACAATTGTGGACAGGCAAAGGCTTAGTTTCCCTCTACCCCTCAAGAATAATTTTCTATGCCTTAGTGTCTGAAATGAAGACTCCAGGAAGATAACTCTGTGCATCAGTCACATGCTCCTAGGGAGCAGAGCCTAAAATGTACAGCATACAAAAAAATGAATATTGACAAAAGACTGTGTGCTAAATATTGATTAAAGACATCAACTTTTGTAAAAAGCATGTTGTTTTTCTTTTAAGTTAATTTCGTTTTTAACTAATGTACAAGTGAATCAGGGAAAAAAACAGAATTATATTGCATACGCCATGATTCCTTACTGATTTGAACTATTTTGATAAACTGGACCTACCCTTTAATATAAGGGCTCTTGAGAAATATATGACGTGGCCATATCTCCTTTTATTTTCTCATGTGCTATGCATGTGTGCAAATGCATGTTCACACGTGTAGGCACCCATGGGTGAAGGAAGATATGCATACATGCATGTGCACATGTGTGTGGAGAACTCATACAGATATTGGGAATATTCTTCTATCAGTTTTCTCCTTTATTCTTTTAGGCGGTGTCTCTCAGTCAAATCTTGGCATAGCAGAATTTCAGGGACTTGGCTAACGGTGTGCTCGCCCAATATAAGCATGGGTTCTAACGCTCCAAATCCACTCCTCTTGCTTACCCAGCAAGTAATTTAACCACTGAGCCATCTCCCCAGCCCACCTTCTCTATCTTTTTAAATGACGAGACTAATAGCCATCAAGTTTTTCTCTTGTTCATGACATCCTTGCCGATACCCATTGCAGAGAAAGCACTAACCCTTATCAAACTCATCACACCTCGAATAAAATGTTTGAAATCTTAAACCAAGTCTGTTTACAGAATTTGTACATCCAACAATTTTTAGGTCAAAAAAAGTCCACTATAATTGAGATCTAAACAGCTGACTGAGAAACGCAAGGTCCCGCCCACTGGCTGAAATTTGTGGAGGATCCAAATGATGTCATTGGCCGATAGCGAATTCCACGCCTGGCTCCTTGATGCACGAAAATAAGACTGGAAGAGCAGCAACTGCTTTGTGTCAGTTCCCGGTTCATTCCTGTATAACCAACCCCTACACTAAAAACTGGGTATTAATGTAGATGAAAGCAAGAATATCATCTGACCGGTAATAGTTTTTTTGAGTTATGGCACCTGGCAGTGCCGACGCTAATGTGGGTTTTCATTGGCCTGGATCACCTAAAGTATGTAGCATCTGTGAAACTGGGGAAACCTGACCCATGCTTTCCTAACCTGATATTGTTACCCTTTCTTGTAAACCCCAGCCCTTCCCCTTTCCAGAAATATGGGGTCATTTGCCAAACTATCACATTTCCACTACAGATATGAAGTTGCCTAACTATATTAATGGAGGAAGCTATTAAATATTCATTTTCCTTAGTATATTTTATGAGACTTGAGAGGCCTGTACAAACGCATCTAAAATGGTAGCGAGCCATTTTTAGAAAACAAAAGAACATAAAAACTTTGTTGAGGCAAGCAGTAAACTGTATTTCTATCTAAGGTAGATAATAAGTGTATTTGGTACATAATCTTCAGAAACTTGGAGTACACTAGATAATTGTGCCTGCTCGTGAGGTTATCTGCACAGGTCACTTGAGCAATTCTTGGTCCTCCTGCTTGTTAGTCCACTTTTCAATGTCACCATCGTTTATGCTGAAAGTGTAATCTCGGGAGTAATCTGTTCACGTTAATGGAGAAAAACTAAATATCCCCCACTATTCTAAGGCCCCTAAAAGCAAGGCGGTGATGCACCCAAGCAAGGTGAGTTTAGCTGCCTATAATGTACTGGTCAGATAGTAAATTCTTTAGCACGTGGTAAAATGCACAGACCTGTACCTGCTGCACTGCTAAGGCTATGTCTAGGCGGCTAAGATAACTATTATGAAAATAAGTACTCCCTGTCAAAGTTATTCAAACAAGCAGGAAAGAGATAACAGGATTGAAAACCTCATTTGCATTATAACAATAATAGCAAAACTAACGCATTATGAGAATTCTTCTTCACAAATGATAAAGGAAATGGTGTTTGGGATGACAATGCTGTCTTCAAAGCGCACATAATGAAAATATTTTAATTTGAGAAATTGTCTAGAGCAATGATAATTGTGAGGAGCTTTTTTTTTCTTATAAAGGGAAGCCATGTACAACAAATGCTTTATTCCAAACAAAGACAAATACTTCAAATATATATGTACATATATTTAAAAGTATTTAATTAAAAATGAATAACCTTAATATTAAAACAATTTTTTAATCTTGCTAGAATGAAGTCTTTTATTCATTAGGTAGATTATCAAGGTAAGAAAATGACTGAATTAGTAAAATATGGTCTAGACCGGAGCTAACATGGTCCTCACTCCACTGTGTCCAATACGATTGCTCACTGTTCACGGCCTGGGCATTCATCTCCAGCACTTTTTTTTTTTTTTTTTTAAGTTAGCAATACATTAAAAAAAGAAATGTTTCTTCTATTTTCATCTTTCAACTCAGTACATTATTAACCACTGCAGCACGGGGAGAAAAATGAAATCAAAAGAAGACAAAAAAACAATACTAGTTATCTGCCCTGCAAACCTAACATTTCCATCTTAAAGCTGGCAGCACTAAGGGAAAACAAATGGCCTCGCCTTGCCATAGCTTCCCGAAGAGCCTTGGCTTTCATATGCTGTATCTTCTTTCAGGCCTTTTCCTCTCTTTTGCCTCCAGTACAACACACACACACACACACACACACACACACACTTGCACACGCACACCTCCCACAGACTGCAGTAGAAACTGCCACAGTTGTCTCCTTTTTATAAGCCGTGCAGACGTCTGCCAGTGCCTGAGAGGAAAGATGATGGAGAGCCGGTTTATCTACTTTCCATCCAAAATACGTGAGCCATTAAGAACATTATAAAAAGCAACAACAATATACCATGCTTTGATTCAGAACCTTCCCCTTAGTGATTATTAAAAGGATGATATTTTTAGCTAAAGAAAGCAATATGCATCTGCAGCAGCTGGTTTCCAAGGAAACAGAATAATTTAAAACCATGTGGAACTCTGCTCTCTCATTTTCATCAACCCCCTTTCATTCCTAGAGGTAGCTTTGTTCAGAATTTATAATTCCTTTTCTTTAAATGTAGCTGCATCCATTTATTGTCTGCAACATATTCCAGTAACTGAATATTTATTTAGCCTTGCATATCACCTAAATCCCATGAGGGTGGAAACCTTGAATTAATCGCAATGACCATTTTGTCTGAAAATCAGAAATTACTTTTAAAAAAAACCATTAGCAATTAAACACAGAAAAAATTTCAGCATTATGTCATCATTTTTGAAATTAAGAAATAGTTCAAAACAAACGGCAGAAGAGATCAACACAACACCTGAGCATAGGAAGACGTCAAGTATATTTCGTATGCTGAGAAAGTTCGAAGTAGGTTTTCAGTGACTAGAATAACCTTTACTCAATATCCAGCATATTTCTTTCCCATTGACTTTCTTAAGAATTGCCGCGTTGGTACCACCTATTAAAAGGTCTGCAGCACCCACCTTCCAAATCAAATCAAATGCAAGACCAATTTTCTTAGAAATTAAAGCCATTGTTGGTAGTTATTAATTCATTCAAATGCATCAAAAATACATATGAATGAATTATTTACGGCACTATTATGCTTGTGTTTTATTCCAGTCAACAGGTATTAATTGAATGCCAATGAGTCCATGACTGTGCTGTTTTCTTAAGAGCTCAAAAGGAATGAGATCCTCTCAGCCCTAAATGATCTTAAAATTAAAATCAACAGAGGTCCTAGTGTGGAATAAAATTACTTTTCTGTCTCTATTACTATAAATATGTCATTTATTCCACACCGTTAAAAATCTTTCCTGGTTTTCCTGAAGGAAAATGAAACATCACGTTATGCATTCTAAGCAACCAGTAAAGTCAAAACTTGGGGAATATTTTGCAAAAAAAAAAAGAAAAAAAAGGAAAAAAAACCTGTCGTGAGGCTAATGCTATCAATATGCGTTGGAATTTCTTCACCTTGACGTATCTGATTCACAAATGAAACTTCTCTGTCAGACATGACTTTTCTCAGCAGTCTCACCCTTCCCAGCTAGACGTGTGTGTTTTTAAAGTGAGAACAGTCCCGCGCCTGTTGACAGCTATCTATTGAAGGTTACTTCATCGCCACACCACACGTAAGCTTCCAATCTGCTGACTAAAACGCTGCAGCTACTCAGGGCGTGAGACACAGGGAGAGAAGAGGGCTTGCATGCACACAGACCATTCCTTCCGAGTCCACACTAAAAAAAAAAAACCCTGCAAACTGAACAACAGTTCTCAAAAGCTCCTTACTCGGTGGCAAATATAAAGACCCCACATGAAATCCTGTAGGTCCAGAGAAGGCTCCATTTTCTCAGGACCTGTGGAATCTATCAAGCTTTCCCTATGCCTCCTTTGGCTTCCACGAGTACAAGCCTTGATAAAAACACACAAAGACACACGAGTTCATCCATCGATTTTGCTCAGTAACGTTGGCTTAGATGGATATCCAGAAGAAGACATGCCCCTGGTGTGTTTTGTGCGTTTTCGTGTTTAAATCGGGGAAGCGTTTTTGCAGCCACGGCGAACCAAGGCTGCCCCGAGTCGAGCGAGGGACCGCTTTCGCCAAGCGCCTTCGGAATTCCCGCCCCCAAAGGATGCTTCCACTAGAACTAAGCATTTCCTTTTTCCAAAAAAGAAAAGAAATTATCTTTCCTTCTGCTTAGTATTATTATTTTTGCTCTTACCTGTAAATATGGTCTCCGTACTTGGGCTCCGGCAGAACACACTGAGGAGAGTTCACTCCGCCCTCGACCATCCATCAGGCCGCAGCCAACCAATAACAAAAGCCAGATCCTGGCGTACTCCAGCTCCCGCTGCCTGCCTGCTCCCAGCCCTTGCTCCCTCCCACCCTGAGCTTTTAGAGGACAAATCCCTGCTGCAGAGGGAGGAAGGAAAAAAGAAATATGGAGAGACAAACAGAAAAGAAAGATTCCAAAAAACAGCCAGCTGGAGTCAAAAGTCTTGTTTTGGATGTAGGAAAACCGGGTTAATCTATGCCTCGCCCACCACAAATCAAAGCAAGCACTTGAGGAAAGCCTAGATAAATTGCCTGTTTCCCCTCACCCCATTGATTTTTTTTTTCCTTCAGTGGAAAAAATATACACTTCCTCATTGTACATGTTGAAATACAGGCAAAAGAGGGAGACGGACCATCAATATTGCCTTTTCAAAGAGATCCAATCAAAATATATCAAACCATGACATCTCTTAGGGTGGACATGACAACCTCTGCTTGGCAGTGTTTCCATTCACAGTCTGAGGGCCAGATGAGCAGAATATACATTTTAACTCAGAATAGAATATTCAAATATTTTAGAGTTGTGTGGTTTGCACGACTTCAAATTCCTTAGATACCAGCATCAATTTGTGAATAACAGAGCTTGTTAAAGATTAAAGAGGCGTCAGCCAACTTGGTTGCTAAGTCTCAAAGTGACTAATTGGACTCTAATTTTGCTCTAATAACCTTGGGCAAAATCATTTCACTTCTGAACTAAAAAGAATAACACGAATAAAGGAACAATTGAGGAAAACATCAAATTAGATTTACTTAAGACAGCAACACAAAATCATATGCAGTTTCAAGGGGGGAAAATGCTTTAAATAAAGTCTCACCATGCCGCTGTGGCTAGTCTGGAACTCGTTAAGTAGACCAGGTTGGCCTCGAACCTAAAGAGACCTACCTGCCTCTGCCTCCTGAGTGCTGGGCTAAAGCCAAGAAAGCTAATTAAAAGAACAAAGACTTTAAAAAAAAAGTCTATTTTACATTTAAAATGCTACTAATTGGACCAGGGAGATGGCTCAGTGGGCAAAGGACTTTGCCACCACCAAGCCTGACAACCTATGTTCAATCCCTGGGTCCCACATAATGGAAAGAGAGAACCAGCTTGTGAAAGCTGTTCTCTGACCTGTGCTCCAGTGCCATGTCATGTGAGTAAAGCACGCACATACATACACATAATTTCTATAAATTTTAAAACTCATGTTAATTGAGGTTGTCTGACAAGATATTCAAAGGAAGTTTTCTTGGGAAGACATGCACTAATGGTTGTTTGTTTAGAGATTTAATTTTATTTACAGGGGTGTGTGTGTGTGTGTGTGTGTGTGTCCACGGAGGCTCTAAGAGGAAACCCTTGAAGTTGGACTTACGTGTTGGTGTTGTGAGCTGCCTAATATGGGTGCTCAGATCTGAACGCTAACCCTCAGAAGAGCAGCAAACTTTTATTTATTTGTTTGGTTGGTTTGGTTTGGTTTCTTTGAGACAGGGTTTCTCTGTTTAGTCCTGTGTGTCCTGGAACTTCCTTTGTAGAGCAGGCTGGCCTTGAACTCATAGAGATCTGTCCACCAAATGCTAGTATTAAAGGCATGCACCACCACCACTCGGCTGAGCAGCAAACTCTTAACCACTGAGCCATCTTTCTATGCCTCAATCTAGTGGGTTTTCTCCCAGCCAGCAGCTGCTATCTGTCATGGAGGTGTGTACTGGCAGGTGATCCTATCTACAATGGTTGGAACTTTAGGAATTTCCCTTTGGATGGTCTGTTCCTGGGTGGTGCCTGAGTAGTCTCAGTTTGTGGTCTTTTACGAGAACCAGGTATTGCCTCAGGGAAAACTACTGAGACTCAGGCCTCTTTTTTGTTTGTAATGGCTGGGTCCTATCATCTGAAGTAGGTTTGTTGGGAGGTTTTTCTTAGAGCAACTCAGAGAAGTGGTCAGGCTTTCAAAGCTCTGTGAGGGGTGGCAGTAGGGGGCTGGAATTCAGGAAAGGAAAAGTGCAGTGTCTCATTAAAAGTACAATTATTCCACTTATCTCTTTAGCTTGGTTTAAGCAGCCCCTTTGGGGCTGGGTGTGCGTAGAGGTGGGACCCTCCTTTAGCCAAAACCTGTCCAGTTGGAATGTTAATGTTCCACCTGTGTCCAGCCCAGAAATTCTAGTCCCTTGACCACAAATTGTAATGTTAACAATGAAAAGTGTTAAACTATCATTTATTATTACACCCTACGTTCTCTATCGAGGAAAATACTTCACAAACACTGTGGTCTAGTTACCAGGTGAAGTTAGAGAAATCCTTGGATAGACAGCATTTCCTAAAGTGGCGACTACTAGGGACACCTGCATCACAGTCAGCAGGGGACCTGTTAAAGCAGGGAGCTCCAAAAGCCTCACCCACCCAGACTTAATCTGCATTTGAACAGGGCGCGACTCACCACTCTTCGAGAGCTCCCTTGATGATTTTGAGGTGGCCTATTATCAACAGAAGTCACAAATTAGTGCTCCCCAGGTGCAAACCGTCAGAGGGTGGTTCCTTTACTGTTGACCTCACGGGCAGGGCTGAGGTGTCGATCTCATATGGGAACTGTCAGCCTGTTAGAAATGATTGGTTACAGCAATGAAGTTGGATGTGTATGCTGAGGGGTTAATACCTAAAACTACCAATCGATGGCAGTAAACCAACCTACTGGAAAAATGGCAAATGCCTGAATAGACATTTCTTCTTCTAAGAAGACAGAAAAAAAATGGCCAGTGATATTTGAAAAAGATGTTCAGCATCACTAATTGTCAGGGAAATGCCAACCAAAATACTTGTGAGATTCACCTCATATCCTGTGTTAGTCAGTTTTCCATTTTGTGACCAAACTCCTGAAATAAAAGCCTGCACACCTCACCAGAAGAGGGCACCAGATCTCATTATAGATACTTGTGAGCCCTGTGTGGTTGCTGGGAATTGCACTCTGGAAGAGCAGCCAGTACTCTAAAACTCTAAGGCATCTCTCCAGGCCAAGAACCAAAGTTCTTCAATAGAAGCTATACCTTATATTGAACTGTCTAAACAGGCTCTTTAATAGAGCCTTAATGATTGTGGAGGTTGGGATGTTGCAAGTTCGAAGTCTGATTACATTTATTTCATGGTATTTTTGGCCTCCTTAATGCTCTTCCCTTGCCCAGCTCTCTGATTGAATGTGCTTCTACCTACCATGTGAGACCTTGGGAATGCACCTAGTAGCAAACTACTGGCTTCCACCCACCCGATGCTAAGACTGTTCTCCACTCTCCTGACCCTGTCTACCAGGTGAGGAACCTGCCTGACTCCATTTTAAAGGCTGGAGCCTTTATGCTGTATTTTTAAAAATAGGTTTCTGTTTATTGTGAGAGTTGAAGAGCTCTGTTTCCTGGAACGTGATCTTTACCAAACCGTGACCTTGTTTTGTTTTTGAGAATATCCTGACCCTGACCCTCCCTGACCCCTCTTAATCACACAGTGGGTGATCACAAGATTTTTTTTTAAGTATTTTCCCCTTGATGCTCCATTGTCTTCCATTTGTAAAACTACTAGTGATTTTACTCCTTAAAAGGGATCCAAGAAGTGGATTCAGGGTTGCTCTCTTTCACGTGACTTAGGAGGCAGTTGCTGGCGGCTCTTGAGTGCATTCCAATAAAAATCAAACTTGCTTCAAACTTGTCTCCAGTTGTGGTAGTGATCTTATTCTCGCCGTTGGGATTAACACTGGTGTTTCCACAGACACTTTTTTTTAAAGTGTCTTGATATATGACTTTCTTGTTCTATTACTATAAAAACGTCACGAAACAGCAATCATGTTAGTGTAAGCCCTAGTCTCTGGCCTCCATCTTTGGAGGCTCCTGTCCCTGTTCCTGTGCCTGCCAAGTCTTGACCCCTCCTCCTCAGAGGGTCAAGAAGAACCCGCCAAAATCTTGACCACACCCTCAGTCTATTTAAACTGCTTCCCTGGAAAGTTTCCTCTTGGTGTCTTTCCTCTCTCCCCAGTGGTTGGGTTCCCCCTCGGGACCACCCGAGAGCACAGGAATCCCATTAAAACTGGACATTTCTTAATTTGGCTTATTGTGATTTGGCTTAATTGGGATTTTTACATCGGCAGAGAGTTCGAGTTAGGAAAAATTCCTAACAGTTAGAATATTGAACTTGGGGTAATTCAAATCTGTATTCCTGAGCCAGGCTCACCCATTTGGCTCTAAAATAAATTTGTGTGATCTTTGAGTAGGGATCTGTGTTTCTCATGTCTACATTTATTTTGTCTCATAGTTTGATATGGGGCCTCTTGTGAGGCATGGCAACAAGGATGCTGGAAAGCAAAGGCTGAGACAGAACGTGGATGGGGTCCATACAGCCCCCTCATTGGAACTGCCCCAACTTTTCTTTCCTAAGCCCACCATCCTTGAGAGATGGTAAAAGTGTCAATTAGTTCACTCTAGCTGCCTTCTTACTCCCTGCCTGTATGCATACCATAAAATTTTCATACGTACCTTAACTGCACAAATATACTTTTAAAACGAATAGATATCCAAATTTGAAATTCATACTAATGAACTCTATGCCACACTCATTGCGTCAAATCTCTGGAGTAGAAATTATTAAGGGGCACCATTTTACATACATTTCTCAGCCGAACTTTACTTATGCACTCAAGTTTTAGACTAAACACTGGGGATACAAAACATGGTTTGAGAACGAAACTCTAAGGTTTCTTTACTTCTAACAAAACAAAACAGGGAGTCAGGTCAAGTTTCATAGCAGCATACAGAAGGCGAGCCAAGCCGGGTGGTGGTGGCGCATGCCTTTAATCCCAGCACTCGGGAGGCAGAGGCAGGCGGATCTCTGGGAGTTTGAGGCCTGCCTGGTCTATAAGAGCTAGTTCCAGGACAGGCACCAAAGCTACAGAGAAACCCTGTCTCGAAAAACCAAAAAAAAAAAAAAAA